GCCGGGAACGGAACCACCAGGGCCGGGAACGGGACCACCAGGGCCGGGAACGGAACCTCCAGGACCGCCTGGGCCGGAAGAGGAGCCACCAGCGGGACCACGGTAGCCCGGGACGCCACGAATGGGTGCTGGAGCTGGGGTCCTGAAGACGAGACGACGGGAGACTGGAGTCAGTTGGTCAGGCTCGAGCTGGCGGACCAGTTCGAGCCGCCTGGCTTCAATGCTGTCAACCGGTTCGTGCGTTGGGATGGAACCAGTGCCGTTGGTGGCCTCCAGTTCCAGCTCAAGTGCTCGGATCTTGGCTGACATTGCGAGTCGCTGGGCTTCGATACTGGCAGCAACGGTGGGAACCGAGCTGGTGTTGGTGCTGGGCACGCGTGCAGTGGGAGGCTGCAGGCGCGCATCGTGGAAACCCGGCTCGCGTGCACTGGGGAACTGTAGGCGCGGACCGTGGAAACTCTGAAACGGGGGTTGCACTGGTGCTGGGGCTGGTACATTGGTGTCTGCTGACGGTGGGCTGCTGGACAAGAGAGCTTGTGCCAGGGCTTTGACATCTGCTGAGCTACCCCCCATGAGGCTGGCTAGCCTGTGGGCCAGCGTGTTGGGAGTGTAGTCAGTGGGAGTTGTCAGTGGGGCTGGTGGAGAGCTAGACTGGACTGTGTGGGGGCCTTCTAGAAGGGACCTCAATATGGGTTGCTGTTGGAGCTGCTGGACATCCTGAATGGGGTGGCCATTGTAGGCCAAGCTAGGAGCTGATGGGAGTGTATCTGGCTGTCCAGCTTGCACGGAAGTGTAGAGCTCGAATGAGTTGAGCCTTTGGTGGAGTGGTGGAGCTTGGTGATCGACATGGGACCCACCAGGTGGAATGGCAGCCCGGAGCTGCTGTGGGATGGCAACATTGCTGTTGTTGCCGTTGGAGATGAAGTCATTGAGACTTGGAGGTGGCATGGGCCTCGTGAAGAGGTCTGCTAGCCGTTGTGGGTTGGTGTCGATCGGGTGCTGCCACGGCCACGCTGTGGTAGCCGTGGGACGTAGGAGTCGGCCGTCGTCGGCAACAGGAGCGCCATGGTCGTGCGCTAAATTTTGCTGTTGTTGTTCGAAAAAATCGAACTGTTGCCGTTGTGGCTGCCACTGCCGTTGTTGTTGGGCATTGGTGGCAGTGGTGGGAGTAGCCATTGTCGTCGCATGAGCGGTAGGCCCTTGGATTCGGCCGTCGGCGGCGGCGGTGGCGGCAACAAGAGCACCATGGTCGCGCAATTGAGTTTCGAAATTTTGTTGTTGTTGAGTTTCGACGAAAGGCTGCTGCTGTTGTTGGTAGCTGTTGGTAGCAGGAGCAGGAGCAACAGGAGTAGTCGTTGATGCCGTTGCGGTAGCGGTCGACGCCTGCAGTCGGCCGTCGGCAGCAGGAGCGCCCTGGTCGGCATTGCTGTTGCTGTTGTTTGCCGAAAAGGGATCGAAGTTGAAGGCATCGAACGGGTTCACCGGTGCTACTGGCGTTGGTCGGTAGCCGAGTGCATCGTCGTTGTCCTCGAAGAGGAGGAGGTCTCCAGTGGCAGCGGATGCGCTATCCGGAGTAGGAATCTTCATCGTGACCGATTTGTTGGCGAGCGTGGACCTGCTGCCAATCGATCAATCTCCGGCTGTAGACGACCGGACGAAGCGCCGCTGGTAGCTATGGATACCCCTGTCGATGCTCCTGTTGTTGTAGTAGTAGTAGAGGAAGGATTGGTGTAGTAGTTGGGCTCAATGACCTAATAAGCGTGAAGCGCCATTGTGTTGGTTTAAAAGAGTGAGTCTATATATTGAATGGCGGTGAGCCACCTTTAGCTATAAGCCTGCAGGCTGTCTATGTATCGATCCGAACGCTAACAGATCGGTTGTGATTTTGTGTTGGGCCGTAGATTTGCGTGTGTTTGCGATGGCTTTCCTAGTGGCAGCCGATTGTTTTCTGGCTGCGTGGGCTTTTTGGTTGCGTGTTGGTAGTTTGCGGTGGTGATGTTTGGTGGCAATTCGGTCTTTCCAGTCGGGATCCCGCTGGGTTGGTTTGATGGGGTCCCTTAGGATCCAGGGTGTCTTTTGGGGCACCCTCTGAAGTGGTGGCGTCTGTGGGACGGTGGGAACTCTGTTGTGGAGTATTTGTTGGATGGTTTCTAGTTGGTGAACTTCACTGTCGGTTAACGGAGCTAAGGGAGAGTTGGGGCTTGGGTTTGCCAATGCGTTAGTGAGATCATTGGCTGCTTTGATGACTATGTCTGTTGTGCTATGGGTTGGCATGGTTACGTGTCTGGGGAACCATTCTACGGTATCCATTATTCGGGTGGCTCTGGTGTCAATGCACCATGCTTGATAGCACCGATACGAGTCCATGGCAGGTCCAACGTACCATGCTTCTTTCGCATGGGGGGTCCCATGATGCTCGATTTCCTGGTTTTTCGTGGCCTAGTACGAATGTGCCTGGTGGAGCCATGGGGGTGCGGTTGAAGTCGAAGATACCGTGGACTTGGGCATAAGCAGAGAGTTTTGGGTTTACTCTGGAGCCTCGAAGAAGGTTGAGTGTGATGTTGGCTTGCGGGATAAGGCGGCACCATAGGTGCATTGGGAAGTTGGGGTCACAGCCGCAAAATATAGCAATGAGATGGTTTTTTGCGGTTCGGATGGCTCGTTCGGCTGCGTTGCGTCTATGCATGCCGGGTGGGGCTAGTTGGAAGTCAATGTTTTCGGAGCGTAAGTTTTTTTAAAATATTGGAGCATTCGTTATCTAGGCGATGTAGTTCTGGTTTAAATCCAGCTTGGACTAGTACGGCGTTGCTTCGTTTGAAGGCTGAAAGAATTTCTCCTGCTGTTCGGTTTTTCATCGGTTCCATGTGAATGTAATTGGGATCGTAGCTGTATAGGACAAATATATATTGCATGCCTTGGCTGGAGGTAATGGGAAGTTGTCCCGTTTGGTCGGTGTAAATTTGGCCGGTTGGGTCACGTGCAATCATGGTTGCGAAGCACGCTTGGGTGCGTTGTCCTTTTGGTAGGGCTGGCGGGAATTCAGATGGAGAATCGGTCACTGGTTGTGGCAGTTTAGGTTTTGTGGTCTTGGTTCCCTGGCGTTGTTGGTCCATGTGTCCTTTAGTTGTTGCCTTTGATTGGGGTGGGTATTTGCGGAGGCTTTTTGTGTTGAGGCCTGGGAAACCTGTTATATAGTGCTTGTCGACTGCAGTTTGGAGCGTTGAGAGTGCTGGGTGGCCCATAGTAGCGTGACTGAAGGCTACCTGTTGGGCTTTGGTGGGATCAAAGTGTGCTGCGTTGGCAAAGTTGTGGGTCGGTTTGATGGTGACCGAAGCTGCTTGTTGAATTGGATCTATCGGTGGGAAACCGGGTGGGTTGTCTATAGGGATGTGCCATAGGCCAGTCTGGGGTGTTCGGTAGCCCGTGATAATGCATTGTGCGTTGTAATAGACCTTGACCGTGGTGTTGGTAAAGGTGGCTGTGCATCCACTATCGCAGAGCTGTCCTAGCGAGATGAGAGATCCTGAGCCATGTTTGAGTTCTTTGAATAGATGAGCTCTACATGCTGCATGTGGTAGGTGTGGTATGGTGATGTCTCCTTCATGGGTGGATGTCATGGTGGCTCCTTGTGCTACTACGACTGTGATTGGATTGGTAGTGGGGCGTTTGTTTTGACAACTAGCATTCCACATTAGAAAATGAGACGTGGCTGCACTATCTAAGGCACCGTAATTGGTGTTTTTTATTGGTGGTTGGGGAGGACCTAACGAGTCGTTGTTGTTCTTGTTGAACGTGGGTCTAATTATTTTAGATTGACTGTTATTGTTAGGCGTCCCGCTGAATCAGTTTCCGCGGCGGGGCTGGTATCGTTCGTTGCTGCCTCCCATTTTGTTTTGAGCGGTGGCCTGGATGTTGTGGCCCTCCTTTGGGAAGTTGCACGTATCACTGTTGTGGGCTGGGTTATGGCAGTAACCGTGAGTCCAGCACCATCCCATGGCATCGAGTTCGGCTGCCGTGAGACCAACGATCGAGGTGTTGGCTCTGGTAGCGGAGCGTCGGTTTGGGCGATCGGTGGTGGTGGTGGTGGTTGCATTTGCTGCTTGGGACTCTCGAAGTGACTCTTGGACGATCCTGGTGATCGTGGCTATGTCGATCAGTTGTGGATGGGTGAGCGTAGAAGTCCCGGTGGTAACTGTTTGGGTGTCCGTGATAGTTGCGTTGGCTCGTTGGTGGTAGCCTGCGGCGCTGACAGTGGTTTCGGTCTGGCGGACATTTTCGGCATCACGAAAGAATTCTTTGAAGTGGGTGAGGGTGCGGTTTTCTGGTGTACGCTTGTTCCATTCTCGGATGGGATGAATGAATAGGCCCGTGGCGTGTAGAGTGGCTACTCCGGCGCTGACAGCGTTGCGGTCACTAATGACATCTCCGCCTTCTACTGAGAAAGCAATGCAGGTGTCGATATTATCAAAGAGTTCCTCGATGTCTGTGGGTGGAGTCCAAGGCTGGGTGAGGAGTTCACGATTGGCAAGGAGATCAGTCTCTGTGATTTTACCGTATGTGGTCACTAGATGGGTAATGATGTCAAATGGGCTGGTGTTGCCGTATCCCCACATGCGATCTTTGAGGGCCTTTGTGTAAGTATCGTTAACGGCGTCCAAAATCTGCTGGAGGATCTGGGCCTCTGATTTGTGGTATAATTTCCATGCATCCAGTTCATTTTTGTAGGTTTGGTCGTGGTGGTACATGAGTGCTTGGGTGGCGTTGGCAGCATGTACGGGTTTGTCTGGTTTGATCGGGACGACGAATGCAACGTTGCCTTGGGATGCTGCAGTGTATGCTGCCTGGCCAAGGATGATGTAGGCGTGGCCTAATCTGCCATCACCGTCCTCACTGGAGATAGCTCTGGTGTTTGCAAGAACCTGAGAGATGAGGAGCGATAACTTTTAGGAGCGAGAGCTATGGATCCCGTCAGAGATTGCTCCAACAGCTATGCTGGCCTACAGCTCCAGCATGCACAGTTGGCTTATCTCCAGCAAAGCAGCAAGAAATGATCGTCCTTTCTACCATAGTTAAGAAAATAGTACGAAAGATTGAGACCGATCCTGATTAGCTTGTAGCCCCTTTGACACCGCAGCAGTTGATACCAATCCTGTTGAGGCCGGGCAGAAGCAGTAGGAGGTAGCAGATAGTACTGTTCCCAGACTGCCACTGCACGATTGAATAACGAAGGGCCCCCAGCTCCTGAGGTGAAGCTGGCCCAAAGGTCCAGCAGAGAGCTCTGCTGGCCTCCTGTCTGACTGACAGGGCCAAGTCCTTGGCTTGGTGCCTACTGGAGGTGTTGGAATACTCCTGAGGCACGACAAGGCTCCCTGAACTGCCTGACTACCGCTGTACCTGAGGAAGGGTTTCAGCGAGGTCCAGTCCACTACTTGAGTATTGGAACTGATCCTTCTAGAAACTTATTGGATTAACAGAACGCATAGATTTGCAGGCAGTTCTTAAGGGAAGAAGAGACCTCCTTGACGAGAAAAGGATCTCTTCGAATTACACTACAGCTACAGTTGGATTCATTGAATTTCATTGGCATTTTGAGGTGGTTTCAAGGTCCATTTTGAAGTCAAAAGTCAACAACATTCTGATCGATTTTGATACTTCCAGCCACCACCACAGTGACATGAACCTTCTTGTTGACCATCTACCAATACAACTACAAGGCCAATTCCATCATCATTGCCTTGAAAAGGACCTAGATTTCAACAACCTCATTGACGACGGCAACAACTAGCTTGGGTACACGGAGAGAGGGAAATCAGCCAATTCACTCAAAGGAAGTTACTACCAGGTACCAGGTAGCTAGTCCCGGTACCGAACACCTGGAGTCTGCCAGAGTGCACGCGAGACTTGTTGTATTCGCTCTTATCGTGGCAATCGAGCAAGGCTTTTACGTCTCGATGAATTTGGCTGCTTATCAAGAGCAACACAAGGATATCTCTTTTGGATACGGGCTTATCGCCTTCCAGTCAATCAGCGAATTACGTGACTTATTGCTCGCCACCAAGGCTTATCTCTTCAGATCGCCCGTGCAGTTTTCGAGTGTCACGAGTTTCCGCCGTGGAACGTCAAGGAACGTACTGGTGAAAGTCGCTCAGCCAATCAAATCGTCCGTGCAGTTTTCAAGGATTCTCTTGCGATCACGGAAGCTCGACGAACGCATCCAACGAGAAGCCGACCAGCCAATCCGATCGCCCGTGCAGTTTTGGTATTTATCGCGCTTGCACTGAGTCAGTACTCAATGTCACACGGAACGTCAACGTGCTCTTTTTCGATCCTGGATCCTTTGGTACCTCCGAAGACTTATACGACAACGTTCCCCGTACCGGTTCTGTACTTATCACGCGAGATTCCCCGTCCTGAAAGCAGATTCAGCCTCCGTAACCTGTCTGCACTCACATTTTAAAGGTTTTACTTGGTCGAGTCATTGAAAATCGTGAGAGGAATCGAATCGCGATCTTCCGTACGGAGCAACTGTCGCACGAAGAGCCACTCCAACTCGAGGCTACCACGAGACAACCAAGAGGTCAATTCGCTTGGCTGAAAGTGTCACCACTGTATCCGCCATCCTTTGTTTAGTCAGTGGGTAGCTCACCTTGGATTCTAGGAGCTTTTGTGGGGAGATTCATTGATCCCAGTAAGCTAGCTTCCAGTGAGGCAAAATCTCACAAATCCAAGCCAATTCCCAGCACCACGGCAATTCAGAAAACAGGTTCCAAAGCTTGTACACAGGCTACCTTATTCAATTACCACCAAATTGAATTTCCTAGACCCCTTGCAAGGTCCCAAGAAGTCCCCTTTGTGGTTTCCCAGCAACAGTTGAGTCAGCTTTATTCTACTGCTACAAGAGCTGCAAACCAGTGCTTCCACCGGTACAGCAGGTACACCTCTTCTTTGTCAGTAACAAGCCATGTCTTTCTACGGTGTCATCAGCGGTGTGAGTGACCCTTATGCCCCTGGCTACTCCGACCGTGGCTGGCACTACGTCTACTCTGGTCCCCAACAAGTCCAAGGTAGCTACTGTTAGCTAGTAAAACTGCAGCTTATTGGGGAGTAATTTGGTTTTGGATTAAGCTGTAAAGCAAAAGTGAGGATTTTCTGGTGGTGCATAGCAATTCTTGTGATTGAATTGGATATAAGGACCCCCGCAACACTTTAGACCTAAAACTCCCTTGGTTCCTTGCATGATCAATTTACATGCGAACCGGACTAGATGATTAATACACGAGTCAATAGTAAAGAGGTGTCAGGTATGTTTCCTCCAACACACTTCTGCACGGGTGCTCCTAAGTGGCTACGCATGGAGACGAATTAAGAATTTAGGTGACAATAACGAGGGGTGGATGCCCCATGATGGAAGCCCTGTGCTCGTGAAGGAGCTTGCCCTGAAGGTGCTTCGTGAAAAAATCTCCAGGCATCTCCAAGGTTGGGCAAGACACAACTCTAAGGTTGCCGTTTGTTTCCATGCTGGTCATGAATTAAAAAGAAACGAATGTTGTTGGCCCGAGTTCTTTTGCCGGAACTGCCTTTGCCATTCTCTGCAAGAATGATCGTGGTTTTGTTGTCCTGCATGATGGATGTTGTCTTTCTACAAACTCCGATCCCCTGCTTGCTTCAGGAACAAAAACCCTTGCCCCACGGAAATGTATCGCGCTGTTCGCCCGTCTTTGCACAGTTGCTACTCACGAACGTACTCGTTTCCACTCTAGTCTAGAATGTGCAGCCCTGCTGTGCTGCTTTTTGAGTTGAGCTTCTGTTTTTCGGATACAGAAAGCACCGTTCCTCTTCCAAGGACATGACTCCTCCTATATGGGAACGGTAATCAGAATGGACTGCAAATGATGAATCCACCCACCAAGTAATGACACGGATATCATCAAAATGGAGTATCAACTTGTTCTTCACTGTTTTTGGTCCAGGAACTTTCATCCGTTGGATCAAATTTCCCCCAGCTCCATCAAAGCTCGCTGGGATTTTCACATCGTGTGCAGAGTAACCAATTTGTCATGTGTACTGTACTTCTGGTCTTGCTCTCTTACATGAGAACAACAGCTGCACTGCGTTGGTGTGATAGATTTATCTGGTCTTGTCATCCAAGCAGCTCCATCACCAGAACTGAATAAATCGGCACGTGCCGCGCTGGGCACCTTCTTCATTTGCTCGAAGTCCAACGGGAACTCCAAGATCATCCTCTTAAGATAGTCAATCATGTCAATGACTACCTTGCCTGGATTCGGAAAGTCCACGTTCATCCCCAAGTAGTCATGCTTGGGACCACGGTTTGCCTTCACGGCTCCATTGGTTCCATACCTAGCGTTGAACCATTCAAGAGTTTGGGTATTCACCAACTTCATTATGTGGCTTGACATTAGGTCGTCAACATGGAATCGGATTGTTTTTTGGTACCCCTCGATCATTCTGTTGGCCACACAAGGATCTTATTTGTTGAACACAAATTCAATTTCTTCGAGGTCGCCCCTGAAGAGCTTTTACCAAAGCAGTGCTGCCAAAAACATTCCAGTAAGATGGCTCTTTCCAACAAGACATTAGAGGGGACTTGTGTTCGCCTCTTGGTATGTCAGGAAGAGGCATATGATTGTCAGGATCAATTTCTGACATAGTAGAGTCTGCAAAGGGTTTCCCTCAATGAGTCATGGGAGCCCTGTGCTTCACCTTGTTTGGAACTGTTCTGGATTGCGTGGTTTGGATGAACGGCATTGGGAATCATTTCCCCAGGGGGGGAAACATTTTTCACCAAAATTTTTCCCCTAATTCCTTTTTTTTTTCGGAAGCATCGACACACATGGATAACATCAAACCCTCAAGTGAGACTGTTGGATTTCTGGCATCTTCTTTCTTATGGTACACCCTTATAGGTTTCCCATTGTAGATTGCACGGGCCTTGACGGTGTCATCCCTTTTCTCAGTCATAAACATGAGTGCCATTTGTGCCTTTTTCAATTCAGAATCACTGCATTTTTTTGGGTCGACTGGACTGAAACACCATCTGCTGTGTAGCTGGTCAATCTCTTTGAGAGCCGCCTCTCTGGCTTTTTGTTGCCCCTCACTTTCAGACCCTTGGTTAGAATATGTTGTTGGGCGTGGCTCCTCTCATCCTTGACTTCTGCTGTGGCACTCCTGTGATTACAGCAGTCCATGAACAAAGCTAGATGTTTGCTGGTCTCTGTCTCATACAGTAGTGGTTTTTTCGCTTCGTCATCCTTGGATGAAGGTGACTCCTTTCTTTGCTTCGGCTGTACAATCCGAGCTGAGCGTCAATTCCAACTCGAGGAAGCTTGGAAGCCTTGCTGGTCCAGCTAGGTTTCCATCATTGGTATCCACTGCTGGGCCGTCTCTTCAACTGTAGGGTTGTCTGGATTTGCTTGTTGGGATTCTTGGAATCCCTTTCTCCTTCTTCATCCGAGTCAATGTCGTGGCATACTGTTTTGATGCCCTTGGTACTAGCCCTGGGGCGTTCCCATCCTCGAATCTTCATCTTATTCCGTGGATTCCACTGAACTTCGTCCGAAGAGTCTCCATAACTTGGAGGTAGCTCTCATTCCATTGACACCATCCATCCTGCAGGAAAACCTACAGGTAAAAATTCCACAAAGTCACGTTGTAAAGATTAGTGGTTTCTTACCCTACCTATGCCTTCTTTTCGACAGCATAAATGACTGAGCGAGGCATCGGAAGGATGCGGACATGCTGTCGCGTGATAACCTCAAAGGTGACGAGGTCCATCCAACTGTGTCCACCTTGGTGGTTGTCCACAATGGACGGAGATAGATCAATCCAATCGCCGGGGCTCCATGAATTAAGCTTGTCGGGTTCGTTGGAAGCGAAACAATAGCTCCCAAAGGTGTATTGAATATCTTTGTAGCTTGTGGTC